GAGGATTTCCCTAGCAGTGCAGTGAGTCTCGCTGACATGCTCTCCCCACCTCCCTGTGTTTGAAATCCTCCTGAGTATGACAGAAAACTTGTGTAGGTGTTTGCAAATCCAGACTCAGTGGTATTCATAAAACAAACAGCCCAAGCTGCATAGAGGAGCAGTTGCTGAGGTTCAGAGGGTTAACTGGCTGTGCACTGAGGACCCCTTTTCCCAGATGCAATAATTTATTGCTTTTTAGCTGTATATGCACATATGAGATGCACAGTGGGGAGGTAGCAATGCCGGGTATTGCAGCAAATGGGGCTTCATTGCTCATGCTGGGAGAAAAGAATTGCTGGAGCTCTGGGAAAATTAGCTGGAAGGGATTTGTGCCCTGGCTCAGCCTGAGAAACAGCCAGTGTCCTTCTCTGTATCACACTTTCAAAAAGAACTGTTACTCTAAAGACCCTGGCAAGGAAGCATGCAGTGCTGCCAGGCTGCTTGCAATAGCACCTCGAGTGGAATATCACAGCTCCTAAAACTGTGATATTGTGTGTCAGTCTGACAGGGCTGTTTCCTTCTGCTACTGTGGCTAGCTTCTCTTTGTATGTGATTATTAACCTGTTCAGCTGGACGCAGAGGCACATTTATGGAATAGCATATATACTGGTCTGATTTACCAGGGGAAAAGATTCCACCAACACCACTGGTGTAGTGGGCACTGAATGGGTGAGATCCTTCAGGGCTTCCAAATGGGGTTTCCCTTTTCCCTGGCCGGCTGGATGCTTTAAACTGTTTCATGCTTTCTGCTTAAAGTCCTGAACTGGGACCTGCTGCACAAACAGGAGCACAGGAACTGTCAGAGGAGATCAGACCCACACACCATCTGCTCCAGGTGTTCCCAGTAGTGGCCAGCTCTTGTTCTTTAACAGAAGGGGGCAAGACACCTTGTAGTGGGCAGTTGTGGACTCATCTGCTCCTATCCTAATCTCTAGTAGACCTTGTTTTGCAATCAAAAAAAGATGCCCTGGATAGCACTCAGCTATGCCGGTCTTAGATACTTTTTCCCTAAACTACAAGGTTTATAGAGAGCTCACTTACCTAGTTTATAGTAAGAGTCTGTGGGATGTAGCCATCACCTTGAGGACATGTGTAAATGGATAGAAGAGCTAAAAGGTCCAGGTATTAGCTGGGTGTATGTATGCAGAACCAATTGATAATACGGGACTAAAGATTTTTTTGAAGGAAGTAAAGCATTACACGGATAAAGGTGCCAAGAGTTTTCTTTGTGACGAAAGCTCTGAAATGCAGAGAAGGCAGGAAGGTATAAAAGTTATCACGAAGCCACATGTGAAAGCAAGAGGCTTTTCTGAAAATCCCTGGTAGACAAAATCAGATACTAAGTCACTTGGGGGAGACTGGAGAGGAAGAGAATGTGCTAATGAAGGGACAGAGAGCAATGAAGCATCATATGGGAGGCGGAGGGTAAGGAAGATGGAATGAATGTTACCAGACTCCCTAGGCTTTCAAAAAAATCTCTGGGCAGAAGGCAGCTGTGATGTGAAACTAAGAGTAGATGTGGAAATTAAAAGGTACTTTCAAAGTGCTAAAAGGAAGAAATGGCCCCAGAAACACAAATGAATCGACTCTGCACAGATACATTTATCCAAGGGATAATGCTGGTATATTCGCCACCTTTCTTTTCTCTCTCTCTGTTTACTCTGTGGATGAAATTCTAACTCCACTGGAAAACAGGAAATCATCTATTGATGTCAGAAGGAGGAGGATTTTGGTGACTCTATATATATATTGAAAATGATAAGCAAATCACTTTAAATGAAGTTTTAAAAAAGAAGCTCGTTGGATGTTCACTCTGATGTATCTGCTAACTGAGTGTGAAGGGAATTTCTGTGGTAGCTGATAATAGTGGATGTTTCACATTTCTGTAGACAATCAATCAATCAATCAATCAATCAATTAAAATTCCACCTACTTGCCTTTAAAGCTGTGGCCCACTTCCTCATCAAATAAATCACATAGTCATAGTTATTGTCCAATTACATAGCAGTCGTCAATAAAGCGCACACCAAACAGAGCAGGTTATTTATTATGCTGCCTTGGATAAAAATGAATAGACCCCGATTTCATGAAAAGCAAAAGAAACCCAGCTCTTGCCCCCAAAGGATTGTGTTGTGTTGCTAAAATGTGCAATTAATCATTTCAGTTGCACAGCCACATCGAGGGTTTCCTCAATTCATGGAATTTCAATTATGGAGGAGTATTCCTTTACGCTCAGCACAATGCGGCTGCAATTTCTGACCAGTAAATATGAAATAAATTGTATGATTGTTTGCAGCGGTTTACCCAAGGGGTCTTTTCATCATATGGAACAAAACATAATGGAATTCTGTCTGAACTCTATAACCTGCTCTGTATAAAAAATGCTTGTGAATTGCATTGCTGAGCTAGAGGCTAAGAGCGAACAAAAATAAATGGATTAATAAATAAAGGTTTGTTAGCAATGGCTTTCTATTTCCTGGTGTTTCTAAAAAAGAAAGCTCTCAATGGTTATTGAGTGGACAGATGGCTTGGGGGCTAAAGGGCTGGGATAACACCTGGGAGATGCATTCATAGGTCCAGTTTATAAGAAGGGTTCAACTCGCAGCTTT